GGAGGGGGGCCCGGAGCTGTGTTTTAGGGTCTCCATATGGGGTAGCCTTTGCCTCGGAGGCTGAACGTATGGCTGCTGGTTTCGCGTTGGTCTGCTTCGGAGGCAGAGATGCTGGAGATGGCGTAGCCCGCTACGCTTATTCGCAGCCAGCCAGTTTAAAGGCGACTGGGCGTCCTGACCAGGCTCTGCCAGGCAACCTCTCTGCACGGGGATTGGACTCGATAGCCAGAGGCTCCTTCTAATCAGATGTTCCCATATTGCTGTAGATGACCTTTTGCAGCTGAGACTACGGCTGCATCCGAGGTTTTGAACTGACCAAAGCTAGCAGGGACTCTGCATCTGCTTCTGGCTTGATTTTTTTTTTTTTTTTTTTTTTTTTCCCCCCCCCCCCCTTCACTTGATTTCTCCATGTCCTTCCAGACCCCGGTGCCTGGAGACGGAGCGCAGAGACCACGCTTTGCTTGCTGCCATCACCCTGAACCGCAGGGAACCGCCAGGGTTTCTGCTGCGGGGTGGGAGGAGAGGAGGCGGTGTATCGCACCGCTGACCTTTCTAAAGTGCCGCGTGCCTGCACACCGCTCCTGCCGTAGCAGAGGACAGGCTTCACCTTGGCTGGCTGTGCTGCAGGGATTTTGCTACACTGTTTGATTTGCCCTGGGAGCAGAGCATGTGCTTTGGAGACATGTGGCCTGAATTAACCTCCCTACAAACGGTTTCCAAGTAACAGCAGTACATGGAGGGAGATAAACTGTGAAGCATATTTATATTTACCGAGATGGTATTAACCTTTGAAGGCTCGGCCCCGCGCAGGAAAGAGGAAGGAGCTGAAACATTCAGAGCTCATTGGGGTAGGGGGGACGGACCCCAAAACCATTCTGTTAGCTGATTGTTTCAGTCTCTGTGGCAGTGATAACACACGTGCCGGCTTTCCAGCCACTTCCAGGTTTCGCGGCTGCAAAGCCGCAACACCTTTGGTCGAGGCTAGTGTTCCCAAGGCGGGGCACACCGCTCCTTTGCTGCCCTGTCTCCTGACCGGGTTCAAGGCAGGTCCAGCAGCAGCAGTGTCAAGACCCCTGCATGCCCGGGCTCTGGGAGCAGCCTCCTGCCAGGGAAGTATCGATGAGCTGCGCTGCCTGTTCCAGAAGTCAAGGGCAAAACTCTTAATGAGGCCATCCCCCCCCCCACCCCTTTCCTTCCCCTTGGCTTTTGAAGCTGTCTGCAGGCTGCAGCTCCCTTGTTGCTGGGTATATAAATAGCAGAGAGCCACTCCTGCAGCTTTTGAGTGAACACCCGAAAGGGCAGGGGGGGGGCCAGAGAGCTTAAAGCATCCGTGCCCTGTTGAGATGCAGTCCCATGCTGGGCCCTATCTGTTGACACCAGCCGGCTCGATCCTAGAGGGATGTAGCTGTGACTCCCCTCTCCATCCTCATCACCGGGGCCCTTGGGTGGTTAACGCTGAAATCCAGCTAGCAGCCCCCAGCCCCTTTCGCCCGCTGGGTTACTCTGGTTTCATGCTCTGCGGATTTAGTGCGTTTGCACCAGCGGGGAGCTGGGGCAGGGGGACGCTTTATTCTTCTTTCCCGTTGCTTATACTGGCTGGAGGAGGAAAACAGGGTGAGGCCTGTGCTCACAAGCTGGTCTAGCTATCCCCCAGCTATGCTGTTGCTCCAGTAAAAGGTATCAGCCTAGCAAATCCTTGCCTCACAAAATAGGGCCGGTCAGTTCATTTCCAGTGGGTTTCATTTTCACTTCTGCCCTAGTTCGGAGCTGCGGCCTTGGTGCCGTCTCCCATCTCAGTAGCAACATGACTGTGTCACCAGATGCAAGCACCCGCGGGTCATGGGTCAGGCATTCTGCAGTCACAAGGCCGGCCTTGCAAATGTGGAGTTTGCCAGCGGTATCGAATGGATTGGGGTTATTTCATTTATTTATATGCCTTCTGGTCCTGGAGCTGGCAGGGTTTATGCTTCTGAGCTGCCTCTGCAGCACTGCAAAGGGTCAGCGCTTCCATTAAAAGCAAAGCTGAGGTTTTCCCATCCCGTGACTCCGGGACCTGGAGCTCTGTGATGTTGAGAGTACCACGAGAAGAGCAGTGAGGATTAGTGGGCTACGACGGGCTTGGAAAAAGCGGTTTTGACCGGAACGAGCGGATCCGTGCGTCTTGGGTTTCGCTGCGTCTCCGAGCCGGCTGGAACGAGCCCGACGCAGGCGCAGAATGGCTGTGCGCCCGCGACCTGATGTTGCGCTGCCACGTCGAGGAGCAAGTCCATGGGCCGCTGGGGTGAGCGGGGCTCGCAGACGACCGCTCTGAGCAGGAGAGAGAGAGCAGATGTGGTGGAGGAGAAGAAATGTTCCCTCTCTGGAAGGGTCCATGTCATGTGGAGCCTTAAAACCACGTTGTGGCTTGGCTACACATAGCCATCACCTATCACGTCTCCAACTTCTTTTGCAGAAAGCGCAAAGTCAGGTGTCCAGTAAATCCTAGTCCCTGTTTCTGGTGCAGTTACTGACTCCCTCCAAGGCATTGGGCCAAAAGTCACTTCCCTTCTGCACCTTAGGTTTGCCATCTAAGGGAGAAAGGGAGCAACTCTGCTCTCCTTCCACCTGGCATCAGACTAGCACAGCTACGTACCTCTGTACTGGTCTTCAACAGGGAGAAATGGCACTTCCCCCCGGACAGGTGGAAAGACATGTTTCCACAAGCACCTGCAAAACGAAGGGAGAGCAGCAGGATGTGTTTCAGAAGTTCAGCCGGCTTGCACCTGGCTCGCTGCTCCTAGGGAGAGGAGTTGGTGATGTTTGCTCAAAACGTTTGGCAAGCTGGGCTCTGACTGCTTGTAGCCACAACAGTGGGTCGTTTGTCAGCCCACCAGGCAAAAAGAACCAAAGCCCATACTGCCTTTCTGCGGGGAGATTTTTTTTTGCCCCTGCTCCTGGGATCATCAGCACTTTGATTTACAAGGGAGAATCAAGGGACGGGGCTTGGTATTCAAGCCCCCGTTCAGAAAAACACCTTCTGGATCCCCGCAATTGCACTCTGCAGGGATGCAACAGGCCCTACAAAGGTATTTGCCATCACCGTGAATTCAGTCTGTGTTATCACTGCCCTATGCAGGTTTCAGGCTGAGCTAGTTTACCGCCTGACAGCTTGAGCCAGGGACGTTTGGATCCATTTCCAGCAGTTCGCTGCTATTTCCCATCTGAATGAGGAGGTTGCAGATGCCACTGGCAAGCGCTACCTTGGAAATCAAGTTCTATTTTTACATCAAAGCATTCAAGGCAAAGTCAAAGGGAATGAAGATGTAGTGCAGTGCAGCCAGGGCTCAGGGATGTGGCGTTCACCTAATACCTCTGGTGACAAACTGGGGGAGAGGTGGGGCAGAGTGCTATCCAGTCGCTGCTGTGTTACTGGGACTGAGCGTTGAACCAGATGTGTCCATTCGCCAGATCAGGTCCATTGAGTGTTGTGTGATCGTGTTTTGTCGAGAATGAGAGCAGAGGTCCTGGCTCTGCACCATATTGTTATCTGTGCCCCTGCCATGTATGCCGAGTACTTTGCACCCGTGCCGAAATGCAGTGCCTGCCCCAAGAAGGTTGCAAACTGGGGAGAAAATGTAGAGAGCAGGAAGAAGAACTAGGAAGCCACCAAGCAAACCCTGAGGTTTGGAGATGTTAGGATTGAGATTCTTTGGATTTTGTGGGGTGATGGGGGGAGGGATTAATATACTCTCTTCTCCAGAAAGCAGACACATGGCTGAATATCTCCCCCTCCCCGCCGTTTTAAGGATAACAGCTTTCTTCTGCCTTTGTTTTAAAGAAATGGTACTTACTAGCCCCCACGTTCTAGCTGTTACTGCAGGGGCTGAGGCAGCATGGTCCAGCAAAGAGCCCATAGGAGCAAAGGGATCGCTGAGCTAATCCAGGTAATGGGTGCCATCGCCATCCACAGACTCGGGAGAAGGCAGTCAAGTTTCTGGCATGTGTAATAGCAGAAAGAGGCAGCACTGTACCTCATTCTTTAGGCACCCCGGGCTTGCAGATAGTCAGCCAGCTGCTTACATACGTGCCTAAACTGAGCCATGGAAATCCATGGGCTATTACACAAATAAAGGTAGGCACGTGCTTGCATACCTTTCTGGACTGGGACTTTGGAGAGGTATAAACAGTCTGGTTCAGTCCAAGTAGTGTTGACTCTGAAGCCTAATGCAGGCAAATGAGACATCGGCACTGTTTCTGTTTCTGATCCTTTTGGGCAGCAGCATCCATGTGCCCTGGAACTGTAGCCAGAGCTCACCTGGAGGGCTCCTGTATTTCTTCCCCAGTCTCCCCCCTCTCTGCACCTCCTTTCCCAATAGTAAACTGAAGGTAATTTGATGCGTACCGCAGGGTTATTGAGAGCACCACCAGCCGTCTTACGCTGCATGTAAGATGGGAGAGGAGAGATGAAAAACATCAGGGGTGCCCATGCAGTATTACTGTCTTGTGGTCTTTGATCCATAGGGCCTGAACTTCCAAGCTGATATTATTGTGGTTGGTCCTGCTGGCCCGATGTAGTCCAGTTGGTGCCTGTGGAGCTTCTTGCCGTGTGCGGGATTGTACCTAACAGCAATGTTGTTTTGGGTATTCCTGGTGCTAGCTGTGATCGGTGACCCTGCTTCTGCACATAGTTCTCCATCTGACTAATGTTGCACACGTGCAACTATTTGCAAGGGCAGGGGGCGTGATGACACACATGTGAAGGCACAAGGAGGGCTTGCCATCGGGCTTGTCAAAGAAACATGTGGGTCTGCAAAGCAGAGCCCTCTTTTACTGCAATCGGGTTAGCTCTAAAGCTATAATAGAGTCCGTGCAGCAACGCTCTTCCTTTCTACGACTCTGATCAAATTCAAAGATAAAAGCAGAAACTGCCCTTGCCACTGGCTGGTGCTGACAGCAGAAGCAGTGAACAGGACTTTTGCTGAGACTGTTGTATTTCACTCCCATCTTTTTCTCTGTTTTAGAAACCAGGCAATGCGGAAGAAGTTAATTTTGTACTTTAAGAGGAGAAATCATGCTCGTAAACAGTGGGTAAGTAAATCCCCAAAGTCTTGTTCTAACTGTGTATGGTAGCTACAACGAGAAGTCAGTATCTGGCTCTTTCATGTAGAGAACAGGAAGGATCCCAGCACGGAGAACCTGGCCGACGGCCCATTGCCAAGGGCATTATTTTTTCTGTGTTTATAACTTCCTTCATTACAAAAGTAACTCGTACACAAATACTGGTTTCACGACCCGGCAGTACTTCCCTCCACACCTATCCCGGGTCAGCAGAGTATTGGCTTAATCAGAGCAGGGCCCTCCATTGATTTCAAAAGGACTATTTGTGGAGTAATGACTGCTCCATGTGAGTAATCAAGCCTTGAGAGAGGTGTGAAATTTCAGCTGACTCTACTGCAGATAACAGCTCTGAAGAGTTATCTCTGGCTCTTGCCAGCTGACCTCAGAATGATGTCCTAGGAAGTTGTGGTTTATACAGCAAACCAAAGCCCTAGTCAATCCCATGGCAAGAAAACCGATAGTGAAATCCAAATTCCCTTTCCAAAAAGACTGCTGTCTGTTGCAGAAAGGAAAAGGATGGATTTTATTATGAGACCAAAGAGATCTGGGCAGATCTATGTAGGCTTTGGGGTTTGTTTAAAGTACCATTTTAGGGCTTGTTTGAAATAAGCAGGGGAGAAAGAGTAGGACAGTTCGTCTGGAAGATGACTATGATCCCGTTGTGTTGGTCAGTGGGAATTGGAAAGAGAAAGTTTCTGAAAAACAAACGAGGAAACAAGCCCGTTGGTGGTCATTGCCCAAATGAAGTGAAATTCCTTAAATGAACACAGTGCCCGGGCTGGGGAGCACCAGGCACAACGGGAATGCTCTTTCTGGTTTTATAATATTTCTGGGTTGCTGGTCGGGAGCGGTTTCTTTTAGATGTAGAAGCTGTGTGCTGAGAGTGCCCTCGCATGCTAGAACGTGATGCCGATGCTGCTGTCGGGCTCCTCTGGGAAGGCTGTGGTGTTGGGTTGAGTTTTTAGGTTGCCAGTTTGCTGACTTCCTTGGGAGTGTTTTTGGATGAAATCTTTTTGGCCAGGAAGACCTGTTGGGAGGATTCTAAATAATCAACTTTAGGAAGTGGTTTAAAAGCAGCCTGCTAAAGGGCTGTTTACGGAGACGTTTCAGACCGAGCCGTGCTTGTTATTGCCAGCAAATAAGAAAGCGCGCCCTTTTTTTTTTTTCTTCCTTTTTCTGGGTTTAAAAAAAATTCCACTTCCCAGTAGTCATGCAAAGTCACGGGCCATGCATTCCGGTGGGATAGCCACACCTTTCATGTGGGTTGGACTTCACCTATAAGTCATCTGGCCATTTTCTTTGCAAGGCTTTTCCCCAGACTATGCTGCCTGGAACAGCCGGTGGCTTCTGCATTTGTGAGAAGAATATCGGTATTCCCTTCCTCAAAATAGAGACTTGCAAAGCAGTGTGTGGTTGTGTTGGAACCTGAGAGGAACTAAATAGGATTGTTTTCTGGTATGCAAGACTGTCTATGGTACTAAATCCAGAATGGGTTGCTCTATTATAAGTAGGAAGGAGGTGGAGACACAGTTGAACTGTGCCAGCGCAGTATGGTTCCTGAATGGCGACTTGCGTAAAAATTGCCTATCATGCAGAAAAGGTACATTTCTGCCGCCAAGGTTGTCCGATGCCCTCGAAAGGGGATTTTTCAATTTGGGGAAGCATATTGCCTGTGTCGTGGAGCAGGCCATGCGCTACTGCTGAATTTGCAAAGTGAGTGCACTTGCTGCTTCTCTTTGCAAAACGAGCACGTTTAGCTATTTAGCCGCCTAGTTTGAATGGCAGACGCAAGTCAAGGGAAAAAAAAATCTGTCCTTGGGTGCTTTTTCCTGTCTGTCACTTGCTCACTTCTTCGTATGTTGTCTCTAGGCCAGCGGAGGAGGTGCTCGGAGGCATATGTGACTCCGCATAAGAGGTTGGGGTGATGCCGAGGTACAGCCAAGGGCTGGGGCTGGCCTGGAGTCAGGGAAAGGGATGTAAAGCTGTTCACTTCTCAGTCTGTGGCTTTCGTCTGGGCTTTGTAGCTGAAATGTGTTTGGAGCTGGAATGAGCCCCTGCCCCTCTTCTGAAGTCCCTGTGGTAAGGGAGGAAGCCCACGGTCCCTTGTGTAACCGCAGCCTGATGTTGCCAAGTGTTATTTCCCCCATGCTCAGGGCATCCCCCAAGCCGGCTATAAAAAGGCAGCAGCTGCTGCCTTCCCTGAAACTTTGTGTCATTTTGTGGGTCATGATGGGGCCGTTTGTGGACCATCTGTCCCTGTGAGGCTGGGGGTAGGCTGTGGCACAGCTCCTCCCTATCCAGCGAGCAGTTTCTGAGCCTGAACAGGAACCACTGTTGACCAAAGCGGGGTGCAGACCCCAGCCATAGGGATCAGGAGCCCAGCTGCATTCAGAAATCCTCTTGCCTCTGCTTCGAAATGTCCCAAGCCCTCCACCTTTGCTCTCAAGCCTGGCACCCAGCTGGAGGCAGTGCCTTCGAGTGCAAGAGGGGTGCAAGTTGCTGGAAGGGTAGCTTGCCTGGCATCCAGTCGCTGGTGGCTCGGCAGAGAGTCCTTCCAACAACCCTCAGGTTTGGCACAACAGAGGG